TTTTTCGTTATGTTTGTTTTAAATTTTGTTTTTATTGTATCTACGTGATTTTTCAACAGAATTAAGAGAATAAATGTGCTTTAAAAGTTCAGAACATGGCAAATTCAATAAATATCTAATAAACAAAAAAGAATTAAATTCTACCCAAAAGGAGCTAATTTACAAGTCTGTAAAGATAGGCTTGTCAAGTGACAACCTGGCAAATTTTGCCACACTGGTGGGGAATTCACTTTTCCAGGTTTTTCTTGCGGCTTTTTTAATGCTCGCCTGGACTCTGCTAATCATCAAAATTTAAAGAAAGTTTGAGATATGAAGGGAAAATAGTGTGCGACTTGACGTGGAATGGCCCATAACTAAGCAGGTGTAGATTTTTTTTTGCAGAGGGGGTGTGTTTTAGTTGACTTTTTGGTTTGAGCAGTTATTGAATTAGTTTGGTGCTCGTCTGCAAAGTGGCAAGTAACGACGGTAACTGCAAGTGCTTTAGATTTGCTTAGTTTCAAAATACAGTTACTGTTTTGGTTGCAATAGCGTTTGATCCTTGCCGATGATAGCACTGTACATAGCCGTAATGAACTAAGTGCAGCAATCATTTGTGCTACAGATTCAAATTCATTGCATCTGTTTTGGAGTAAGACTGTTGAGGTGTATGCTCTTATTCTTATCATTTGAGTTCGCTAATAATAGTGGTAAAAGATATTGGAACAGTTTTTAGGAAAAAATTAGGAGTAAAAGAGAAAAATCGGTATTTTCAGTATTAAGTGAAATGGCAGTTACGTTGTTACGTTATCTTTATTAGTCGTTCTGCCAGTTTACGCCATGCTGTTTTTGTCAGTGGTCCAATCGGTAAGTATTATTTATGTGTACAGTGTATCTTATAGGGGGTTTCCAGCATAGTTTTGAAGCAGCTGGTAGTTTGGGGAGACAAATTCATTGAATGTGAGTGAGAAATGTCAGCAACTCAAAAGTTCTTAAGCAAATTTTGAAAAAGGCTTCCTTATAGACCGTTCGGTAGTTCCACTTTGTTCTTGGTGTTATTGGGGTCACAGGGTCATCGTATGAAAGTGGATTTGCTTGACAGTTTTCAAGAGCTAAAATGTTTTAGCTGTGTAATGGAAATATATGGTTTACTGAATGGGTTAGGATATTTTCGAAAAGTTCACATTTGGCACATGTGGCGTCCTAAAAAAAGAGTTCTAGTCTCAATTCTGTATCTTTTGGCCACCAGTAAAGATATATATACGGAGGGGGGGGGAGAAGTTATTTACCGAAATTGATGAGTCCTGAGGTCATTGTTGACTGTCAGAATTGCTGAACTTTTTAATTATAAATCCGTTGTTATTTGGTAATTCTGACATTCACCTTCGCACCGATTCAGCTCTCGGGAACTGTTTTGTTAAGATATGTCTGTATTTTAAAAAATAAAATTTGGCGGTTCAAGCTATGGACCCGAAATTTGCTTTTTTTTCGCATTAATCATGAATTTTCTTCTGTATCAATCTGTTTTTTGTTTATAGAAGTTGGGAAGTTCTGTTTTTCTATGCAGTATTCATTGGACAGTGCTATTATATTTTGGTTGAAGGACACAACTGCTTTTGTTTTTTGTTGTGTGGACTGTAAAATCAGTTGCTTCATAAGGTGTTAATAGAACCGCATCAAAAAGCTTTATTTTATTCTCATTGACATTTCTGCCCCCTTGTGGACATTAGGAATTTTTATTAAGTGTTTGGTAAGTTAGTGTTTGGTATGGGAAGTTAATTTTTTTAGCGTTTTTGAATCTTGTTTTTGGCTTTATTCCATTGTGTGCGTCAGAGCGGATGCATGATCCGCATCGCCGCCTACTTGTAGCAGATGTTGGGATTGCCTTAAAATCAGCTTCATGTTAAATCTCATATCTTTTTAGTTAATGGTAGCGGTGGGATGCCGGGGGTCGTTGGTCTGTTGGAAAATTTTCTTCAAAGTATTTTGAAAACGCGGTGTCTGACTTCCAAGTTTTTTTCTTTTTATTTTTGACCATAACTCATTCTTTTAGGGGTATTTCTGGTCACTGAGCGGTCATTGAAATTCGCTTAATTCTTAAGTTTCGGCTCGCAAATTGTGCAGCCAGTTAGGCAAGAGCATTGGGACAATGTCCTCCCGAGAATATGTGGTATCATTTTGTATACGACTAGCTGCGTCCGCTGCACTGACGTACATTACGCTTCGGTATATGATGCGCTTCCTGGACCCAAATTATGACACGAAAGAAGACATTAAACGAAAGGTTGGTTTTGAAATACGTAGCTGATTCTAACATTTTATGATTTCGAGAGTACATTATTTCACTATGAGGCATTGGAAATAGGCGGAGAAATAATTTTTTCAACACTTGCGGAACTTTTGCTGTTTCTTAGCTGTTTGGTTTTAAGGCTAAAAAGTTACTGTTGTCGCTTGGGTTAGATCCGTCAATTGTTCTTACAGAACACGAATTACGTATTGCTACACAATTTGTGACCTCCAACGAAGTAAGCGAATACGACAAGTAACATTTTGCAGGCTTTTTTAAAGCTTTTGAGCATTCCTCATCCTCTTTTTATAAAGCTGTAAATGTTGCTTTGATGTATAGTTTGAAGTAATTTGCCGTTTGAATTTGTGAATTAGCTTATAGTTATCAGTTTTTAAGGGGGCTGAATGGTCAGACTTGGGTGGTTGTGATGACCTTATTGAAGAGTTGAAGGATAGAGTCATTTTGCCTCTAAAAATTCGTCATGAACATGAAGATTTGGCCATGTCGTGCAACCTTTTGTCTCCACCTAAAGGTAAAAAAGTTATCTTCTCATCCGATGTTGGTTTTAGTGTGCAACTAATGTATTCTTAGCATAGCTTGAAACGAAGAGTTAAATGTTGTGGTTTCTTAATTTTTAAACGTAGTAGGTGTTTGAAAACACGGGTGTGTTTGAATGACAAATAATTGCTAAACTGATTCCTTAGACTTTTATTACAATAATCTGTGTTTTAGGGGTCTTGTTGTATGGTCCTCCTGGATGTGGGAAAACTTTGCTTGCAAAAGCTATTGCCCGAGCAGCAAAAGCAAGATTTATTAATTTACGAATTTCGATACTGACTGATAAGTGGTACGGTGAGTCTCAAAAACTCGCTGCTGCTGTATTTTCGCTGGTCAGCATTTATTAGGAAATAACTGGTTCTAGTTTTTTTGGTCGTACTCTGTTACACTGCTGTTTACAGTTACGACTACGTTTTTAAAATTAACTTTTCTTATGATAAAGCGAACATTTACAGGCCGAAAAGTTTCAACCCACTATTATATTCATCGACGAGATAGGTAAACTTTTTGGCGTTTACGTAGTTTGTATTGTGGTATCCATTTTATCCAATGCCAATAACTTTGCAAAAAAAAGTCTCGTGTAGTTTTATTCATGAGGGGTATCAAGCGTGTGGTTTTTTATTTAAGATTCATTTTTGCGTGATAGACAAGCACAGGATCATGAGGCAACAGCCATGATGAAAGCGGAGTTCATGAGCCTTTGGGACGGTTTCGCATCTTCAGGTTTAATTTATTTGTTTTTCATCTTTGGAGCAATGATTTTATTTTCTTCTCTTAATTCAGCATTTGTCTTTAAATATACTGCCGTTATTGGTTCTTAATTTCTAGCTAATTAGTGGTCAAACTCTTTAGATAACGCAATTATTGTAATGGGGGCGACAAATAGGCCGTATGATGTTGACAAAGCCATTCTGCGACGGATGCCTGCGAGATTCTTTGTTCCTTTGCCTGTAAGCTTCTTAAATTTTTTTTGATCACAGGTTAAATTCGTGTCAAATTTTGCAGCAACATCTTTGGTGTCAGTAGTAAAAGTTGTTTTGCTGCCTCAACGATAACTACCGGTTGTTGTAAATAATTATAAAAAAATTTCAGCTTTATGTCTAACTTGCGAGTGTAAGGTGCGAATGCATAACTTTAAGGAAAGTAGAAGGGGCCACTTTTCCGCAAAAGATTTTGTAGTTGAATTAATGATTTTTATCTTATTTTGAGGTTTTAGTGTGCTGAAGCAAGAGCTGATATTCTTCGTGTAATATTGCGTGATGAGCCTCTCGATGCGAACATTGATTTTAAAAAAGTTGCTGAAGCCGCAGGGCATTTGAGCGGGTCAGATTTAAAAGAAGTCTGTCGGCTGGCCGTCTTAAGTAGGGTGAAGAAGGTTGTCGAAGACGGAAATAGCTTGTAAGTTATGATTCACTCGCAGTCACTGCATTCTGGATCTTTGTTTTGTTTCATCTTTTCCTGCAGTAACATAAGTTTTCTAGGTATGACGATACGGCACGTATTTTACGTGAAGAGGATTTGTTGGAATCTATACGGAAATACGGGGAAACTGCTTTTCTTACTTCAAATTCTATGTTTGTTCCAGAATCATTGGATTAAAGATTATGATATCCAGCTTTTGATGAACCTTTTCTAATTAGTTGCCGCATAAAGCAACTTTAGTTGCTTTGGCAAGATCGCTTAGCTTTAGATATTACATTCAGATTTAGAGTAATCGTGCGTACTTGTCGATTTTTTGAGACTAATAATTCAACATTTATTCGTTTTTAATAATATAATTGTGCATTTCAATTTGAAGTGTAGCTGTCAATTTTTAGTTCATTTTTATTGCATTCTGTCAGATGACGCTTGAACTGATGAAGAAAACATCTGAACAGTGACTGGTTGCTCACAGCTTTTTAAGCTTAGCGAGTTGATGGTTTAAGATATTTTTTGTCTTTTGCTCGTAATGGAAACAACAGCATGGGAGAATTTTATACTTTGCTTGAAGGAAGTTTTTCACACTTCAAAGTGATGTTCAGAAGTTGAGTTAGCCTGTGCTATTGTTGGT